CCTCCGCTCCCCCCCGCCCCCGCTCCTTCAGCACGGCGGTCAGGGCCCCGCGGGGCGGGGTCGCGGGGGAACGGCGGAGCCAGCGAGGCCCGCGGGGCTCGGGTCGGAGATGGGGGTGGGGGTCGCGGAGGGGAGGTGCCTACGGGGCCGAAGTCGTGGAGGGGGTGGGGCCTGCGGGGACTGACGCCGCAGTGGGGCGGGGGTCACGGAGGGGCGGGGCCCACGGAGGGGCGGGGCCAGCGGGGCCCTCGGGGTTCCGGTCGGAGGGGGGCGCGGGTCACGGAGGGGCGGGGCCCGCGGGGCTGTGGTCGCGGAGGGGCGGGGCCACTGGGGGCGGGGCCAGAGGAACTGGGGTCGCAGACGGGAGAGCTGGGGTGACTGCGGGCACGTGTCCTGCCCTACCGGCCGAGACTCCTCCCGTCCGCGGGGTCGTGTGCTTCCCACAACCGCCCCCCCACTCTGCCTCGGTCTCCACGCAAACCGAAGGAAATGCTGAGCCAATGCCTTTTTTTTTAAGGGGTAACTGAGGCTGCAGAAAGTTCCTGGGCTCCTGTGAGGGTGTATTAAATGGGTAGACGCTGGTTTTGCAGGACTGGGAGCTCATACGATTTGTGTGGCCCCTATTAAAAAAATACCCAAGGGGCTCCTGGGGGGGCTCGGCTGGTTAAGCATCTGACTTGGTTTTGGCTCAGGTCATGATCTAGTTAGTGAGTTCGAGACTCCGCCTACAGGCTGGCTGTCAGTGAGGAGCCTGCTTGGGATTCTCTGTCTCTCCCCTGCTCATTCATTCTCTCTCTCTCTGTCTCAAAATAAGTAAACTTAAAAAAAACAAAAAACAAAAAACCCTTCTTTAAAAAAATCCGAAAGAAAGAAAAAATCCTTCTTTAAAAAAATCCAAAAATTATGTCGGTAAATATGTTTAGAAAGAGAAATCACAAATGACACTTTGATAAGTTGAAAAAAGCCACAAGCATCACACACGACCATAAAATATTTGTTAACTTCCTGACACACTTCTACAGGGTGTCCAAAAGTCCAGAAACACACCTTATTTTTTTTTAAGATTGAAAATGCCCTTGGCAGCATTATGCATATTTACCTGTGTGTCTAGACTTTATGGGCACCATTTATGATAATTTTCCCCACGTTTTCAGGCCGCATACTTTCAATCACCTTTTCCTATGACATTTTGTAATAGTTTCTATTTCTATAAAGAAAATAGAAAGGTCAGTCTTATTCTCAGCATGGTGATCAAAAACTTTTTATTAGGGGACCCCTGGGTGGCTCATGGCTCAGTTGGTTAAGTGTCTGACTTTGACTCAGGTCATGACCTCACGGCTGGTGGGTTCGAGCCCCAACCTGTCAGCACAACCTGGAACCTGCTTCTGATTCTGTGTCTCCCTCTTTCTCTCTGACCCTCCCCTACTTGCACTGTCTCTCAAAAATAAATATTTTTTTAAAAAAACTTTTTATTCGGAGGGAAGGAAAAATAAGATAAAACCAGAGAGGGAGGCAAACCATAAGAAACTTTTATTTTTTTTATTTATTTATTTTTTAATTTTTTTTTTCAACGTTTATTTATTTTTGGGACAGAGAGAGACAGAGCATGAACGGGGGAGGGGCAGAGAGAGAGGGAGGCACAGAATCGGAAACAGGCTCCAGGCTCCGAGCCATCAGCCCAGAGCCCGACGCGGGGCTCGAACTCAACGGACCGCGAGATCGTGACCTGGCTGAAGTCGGACGCTTAACCAACTGCGCCACCCAGGCGCCCCAAGAAACTTTTAAATAAAGAGAACAAACCAGGGGTTGATGGGGTGGGGAAAATGAGTGATGGGCATTGAGGAGGGGCCCTTGTTGGGATGAACCCTGGGTGTCATTTGCGATGAATCGCTGGGTTCTACTCCTGAAGCCAAGACTATACTGTATGTTAACTAACTTGAGAATGAAAAATAAAGTCGTAGATACTTTGACAGGACCAAAAAAAAAAAGTGTATTATTGTTTATGTTTTAGTTTCCCACGTCATTACTGTTATTAGTGTGTATTGTTTTAAAGATTATTGTTAAATTTGGAAAAACTTGTATCGAGTTTCTTTCACATCTGAGCTCTAATATTTCAGGGATGTTTGGCGGCTTGAATGGCCATTTTGTGTATGGTTTTTGGTGGATTCCCAGTGTTTTTCAGAACAAGATTTGTCTGCTCCGTTAAGACAGGTTCTGATTCATTAAGATAAACAAAACATGTGACTTCAACTACAGACAGATTCGTTGTAGTAAGAAAGAGTATGAGTTTGTATCCCATAAACCCAAGAATTCTAATATGTTCCATTATTTTTTTTCAATTTTTTAATGTTTTATTTATTTTTGAGAGAGAGAGAGAATGAGCAGGGGAGGAGCAGAGAGAGAGGGAGACACAGAATCTGAAGCAGGCTCCAGGCTCTGAGGTGTCAGCACAGAGCCCGGCGTGGGGCTGGAACTCATGAACTACAAGATCATAACCTGAGCCAAAATCGGACGCTCGAGCGACTGAGCCACCCAGGCGCCCCTTATTATTATTATTTTTTTTTCAACGTTTATTTTTGGGACAGAGAGAGACAGAGCATGAACGAGGGAGGGGCAGAGAGAGAGAGGGAGACACAGAATCGGACACAGGCTCCAGGCTCCGAGCCATCAGCCCAGAGCCCGACGCGGGGCTCGAACTCACGGACCGCGAGATCGTGACCTGGCTGAAGTCAGACGCTTAACCGACTGCGCCACCCAGGCGCCCCTATTTTTTTAATGTTTATTTTGAGAGAGCGATTGAGTGCAATCAGGGGAGGGGCAGAGAGAGAAGAGAAAGAGAATCCCAAGCAGGCTCAGCATTCAGCACAGAGCCCATCACGGGGCTCAAACCCACGAACCGTGAGATGGCGACCTGAGCTGAAACCGAGAGTTGCACACGCTTAACTGACTGAGCCCCCCAGGCGCCCTGGTTGGGCATTTGAGATTAGGCATTGAGAGACTTGATTCTTCCGCCAATAATTTTTTCCTCTTGACGATTGCAAGGATTTCCTGTGGACCAGTTTCTCATTTCCTTTCACATCTTGTCCCTCCCCCACCCCGGCCCCCCGCTGCCCATGTATTTTTCTGTGCCAGGTGTCACAGAGCTCCTTTGCCCCCTGGCCGCGCACGTTTGTGACACGGTGCTGGCTGAGTTGGCATTTCGGGTAGTAGGTGTATTTCAGAAAGCCGTTCCTACACCCACCGTGAGCACTGATTTAACAGAGCTCCAGTTAAAGGTATCCCTTAATCATCGTCCCCAGGTCCCCAGAAAGTCCCATTCCTGAACCCTCTAATGCGGAGGAGTGACAGAGGGAAGTGAGGACGCAAAGAGACAGTGGTCTTACGTATCTTGTTTTAGAAACTTCGACAGAAGCTTTGGACCAGGCGAAAATACCGCAGCGGCCTTGGAAGGGCCTGTGTGCGCGCGGGCTTGGGAACGAGCTTCGTTCATTGATGGTGAACCCGCCTCTAGTCGTAGGGGACTCTCATTCTGCTACTCTGAGCCCCGGTGACTTGTTTCCACTTAGCCTGGATCTTTATTCGTATTACATATTACATATTTATTCGCATTCATATTACATGGCCAAAGCTCCAAGAAGTCCCAACTGTATTTCCTTGATGTGCTAAGCTCACTGCTCCAGCCTGCGTAGCCAGTAACTGTCACGCGACGGGTAAATAGAATTCTTCTTGGAAACACAGATTCCGTCTTCTGAGTTTTCTGCAATAAGCATTCCTTTCGCAACCTGAAAAAAAAATTTTTTTTTAACAAGTATAAATAGGGGCTTGTTGGCTCAGTCGGTTAAGCATCGGACTTCGGCTCAGGTCAGGATCTCCGGGTTTGTGAGATCGAGCCCCGCGTCGGGCTCCGTGCTGTCCACACGGAGCCTGCTCTGGATTCTCTGTTCCCATCTCTCTTTCTGCCCCCCTCCCCCGGCACTCACTCTCTCTCACTTTCTCTCAAAAATAAACATAAAAAAAAAAGATTAAAAAAAAAACAGTATAAGTATTAAAACCTATAGAACATACCTAGGAAGATGGACAGGTAAAATCTGATAAACTAATCATTGACTTTTTTTTTTTTTTTTACTGTTTTGGAGTTTAACATATTGAATAATCTTTTTTTATGTTTATTTATTTTGAGAGAGAGAGAGCATGGGGTAGAGAGAGGGAGGCATAGAATCCCAAGCAGGCTTTTTTTTTCCTTTCAAAAAAATTTTTAATGTTTATTTATTTTTGAGAGAGACAGAGTGTGAGCGGGGAAGGGGGGCAGAGAGAGAAGGAGACACAAAATCCGAAGCAGGCTCCAGGCTCTGAGCTGTCAGCCCAGAGCCCAACACGGGGCTCGATCCCACGAACCATGAGATCATGACCTGAGCCAAAATCAAGAGTCAGACACCCAGCCAACTGAGCCGCCCAGGCGTCCCAGTTTTACCATTTCTGAAATTCTTTTAGAAGTTTCCTCCCTCAGATCAACGTTTCCCTCTGTTCCCTCCGCACAGTATTCACCTTCTCTGCGAAATGTTATTAGATTCCCAGAGACTGAGTTCAACTCCGTGTATTTCCTGCTTTCTCTGTGATAATCAGTACTCCATGAATGTTGCGCTTTAGTCACACAGAACGCTTTAGTGGGGATAATTATTTTGTACTCCTTGACTGCAAGCACAGGGAGGACCAAGGTCATCCCTCTGGAGCCCCACAGCCCCTGTCACAGGATAGAAGCGTTTTATGAGGCTTGCAAGGTTGTTAGCTTGAATTGGTTGTTACCGCCTTCAGATCTGCGCCTGCCCTTGGCGCTGGATGACCATGACTGGAGGCTGCCTCCTTGAGGAGGGACATGTGCTCTAAGTTTGCAACAGTCGCCCCAGCCAGTCGTGAGGGACACCGTCCTTGCTGTGATTGATCATTTTGCACCAATATCTGTTTACAGTGGTACATGCGTGGCCACCGTGGGCATGTATTCATGTTTGTAACTCCCTAATACAGAAGAAAGAAAATGGCATCCTGCCTGGAAGATTTGAAGAGATAATTCTGATTGATCATTGATAATTCTTTAAAAAAATTTTGTTTAACGTTTATTTATTTTTGAGAGAGAGTCAGTGTGAGCGGCGGAGGGGCAGAGAGAGAGAGGGAGACACAGAATCCGAAGCAGGCTCCGGGCTCTGAGCCATCAGCACAGAGCCCAATGCAGGGCTCGAACTCACGAACCTTGAGATCGTGACCTGAGCCGAAGTCGGACGCTTAATGGACGGAGCCACCCAGGTGCCCCTCGATCTGTCACTTTTTAGATGCTGTGACCTTAGACTCACTTTCCGGACCTCTGTCTCTTTACCTGGAAAAAAGTCAAAATTGTTCTGGGCTGTCAGCCTAGAGCCTGCATCGGATCCTCTGTCCGCCTCTCTCTGCTCCTCCCCTACTCTCTCTTTTAAAAATAAATATATTTTTAAAAGTATGTGCTTTTAGGAGCACCTGCATGGCTCAGTCGGTTGAATGTCCGACTTCGGCTCAGGTCATGATCTCATGGCCTGTGAGTTCGAGCCCCGCGTCGGGCTCTGTGCTGACAGTTCAGATCCTGGAGCCTGCTTCGGATTCTGTGTCTCCCTCTCTCTCTGCCCCTCCTCCCCTGCTCATGCTCCGTCTCCCTCTGTCTCTCGGAAATAAATGTTTAAAAAAATTTTTTTAAGTATGTGTTTTTAAAAACAAATCTCCCATAATCCCATTACTGAGATCTTTGCTTAAAATTTTTTTTCTAACATTTATTTATTTTTGAGAGACAGAGCACGAGCCGGGGAGGGGCAGAGAGAGAGGGAGATCCGGAATCCGAAGCAGGCTCCGGGCTCCGAGCTGTCAGCACAGAGCCCGACGCGGGGCTCGAACTCACGAACCGGGAGATCATGACCTGAGCTGAAGTCGGACGCTTACCTAACTGTCTGAGCCACCCAGGCAGCCCCCCATTACTGAGATCTAATCAGCGTTAGCAATGTGGGGTACATTCTTCCCATCTTGCAAATGCTAAATCCATATAATAATAATAATGATAATGATAATGATAATGATAATAGTAATAAATGGTTATTACCAAGTAGTACCCTCCACTGACAGTAGGAAGAAGCTGTTTAGGAGAGGAGGCCCTTGATTCAAGGACCCGTTAAAAAGCTGCTCAGACTAATGCTGAAGCTTCAGGGCCCCGCAGCCCCACCTGCTGGCCGGAGGCGGGAGCGCTGCGGCAGGTGGACTCCCTGCGCTCCCGCCCTCTCCGGGCTGCGGACTCAGCCCCGCGGCCCCGTGGCCACCGCCTAGGTGGGGCAGGAGGTTGGGGGCGTCGGTGGCGACGGCCTCTGTGGCTCCGCCTGGGCTCCGCAGAGCCATAATAAAGGCCGGGGCTCTGCGCGGAGGGGCGGGGGCGAGACACCGAGCACGGTGACACTTCCCCTAAATGAAGGATGTGAAAACCAAGAGCCCGTCAGCCATGCTGGAGGAAGGACCGAATTATCTTCCCTTTCTCTCAATAGGACATTGTCATCGCCTGGAGACAAGGGACATGCAGCCAAAAGAAAACTCGGAAGAAAAATAAGCGCAGAGGTGTCTCAGGAAGTCAAGCGACAGGAATGACAGCCGCGATTCCGTGTCGTTTGAATTTTGCCCTACGGGTCAGCTCTTTTTAACATTTGCGAGTCATCGGGGTGTCATTTCTCTTTCTAAGTAAACACTCGTTTCTGTACCTCCTTGTCTATTCTTTGTGCTAAAGAACTCCCCTTCAGGGGTGGCTCCTTCGGTTAAGCGTCTGACTCCTGGTTTCGGCTCAGGTCATGATCTCACGGTTCGTGAGTTCGAGTCCCGCGTCGGGCTCTGCGCTGACGGTGCGGAACCTGCTTGGGATCCTCTCTCTCCCTCTCTCTGCCCCTCCCCTGCTCTCTCTCCCTCTCTCTCATTCTCTCCTTCCCAAAATACATAAATAAACTTTTTTTACAAAAATGCTGTTTGAAATAAGTCCCCTGTCCGTATATTAAAACAAGGAAACTGGGGGATGCCTGGAGGGTTCAACGGGTAGAGCATGTGACTTGAGATCTCGGGGTCGTGAGTTTGAGCCCCACGCTGGGTGTAGAGATTACTTAAATAAATTAAAATTTTGGATCAATCAGTAAAACGAGGAAACTGAGTCACAGAGCCGGTGGAGAAGTCTCCGTGTGTGGTCAGGTCTGTCCGACTCCTCAGCCCGAAGGGCTGGCTGTGTCTCCAGCCCCGGTCGGCCTGTACCCCCGGAGTCTTAGCGGCCTGTGGGGCCCCTGCATTCAGCTAACTAACACTGCTAACAGCTTCTCGGGGCTCCGAACGTCCCTGCCACAGAGCCTAAGCCGCCACCAGCCTTCACTCTCCCTGCGCAGAGCGGATCATGGGTGTTGCTCAAGGCGATGCGTCCTTGCAAGACCTTGGTTGTCCACAGACACCCCGGCCCTGGAACCCCCATCTGGATAAACAGCCCCCCCCCGGGATATTCACGATGGTCGGTGAATTTATTTCGCACATACCATGCCCCAAGCACTTCCCGTGCCTTGCCTCATCTAGTCCTCAAAGTCTCGTGAAGTAGGTATTATGAACCCATTTCACGGAAGAGGAAACAGAGGGTCAGGGAGATTTATAATAATAGGACGAAGGCGGGCGAGTATGGTTACTAAGTATGCTAGACCCTAGAGCCGGTCCGTACAGTTCTGGAGCCCGTTCTCCCACCATTCTCGCTGTGTGATCTCGAGCATGTTAAATAACCACTCTGGGCCTCAGTGGCACAGCCACAAAGTGACAATAATCGTACCTTACCAGACGTGTGTCAACACACACAACCACACTGGCACGATAAATTCTTCGTAAATGTCTGTTCTTTTTTTTTTTTTTTTTTTTAATTTTTTTTTTCAACGTTTATTCATTTTTGGGACAGAGAGAGACAGAGCATGAACGGGGGAGGGGCAGAGAGAGAGGGAGACACAGAATCGGAAACAGGCTCCAGGCTCCGAGCCATCCGCCCAGAGCCCGACGCGGGGCTCGAACTCACGGACCGCGAGATCGTGACCTGGCTGAAGTCGGACGCTTAACCGACTGTGCCACCCAGGCGCCCCGATGTCTGTTCTTTTAATATCACTTTGTTGTAATGTTTCTTTATTGACTTTTAGACAGAGAGAGAGAGAGAATCCCAAGCAGGCTCCACGCTGTCAGCACAGAGCTCCATTCGGGGCTCGAACCCACGAACCATGACATCATGACCTGAGCTGAAATCAAGAGCCAGACGCTTAACCGACTGAGCCCCCCCCTCCCCCAGGCACTCTTTAGTATCACGGCTTTTACAGAAGCCTCCCAGAGTCCTAAAGAAAAACCATCATGCAGAATTCTGCCCCCCAGATGGCCGCGGTGGACATGGGGTTCTGTTAGCATATGGGCATCGTTTCCTAACTGTGCGCCCTCCCGGCCCAGCCAGGCAGAGGTTGCTATTTGAGAGACTAAGTCCCCTCCGCCCCCACTCACCTGGGGACTCAGCCTGGGGCTGGTCAGGTGAGGACGACATTTGATTTCAGTCTCTTGGCAACGGGTACAGAGAGTCCCTTCAGAGGGTGCCAAGGTAGAGGCCCAGGAATGTTTATTACAACAGCATTTTATTTATTTTTAATGTTTATTTATTTTTGAGACCGAGAGAGAGAGAGAGAGAGAGAGAGAGAGACAGAGCATGAGCGGAGGAGGGGCTCGAACCCACAAACTATGAGATCATGACCTGAGCCGAAGTCGGACGCTTAACTGACTGACCCACCCGGGCGCCCCTACAACATAAGGGACAAGGGGGATATATACATCCACTAAGTGGAATTTAGTACCTGGCTGGCTCAGTCAGTGAAGCGTGCAACTCTTGATCTTGGGGTTGCAAGGACACATCCCCAGGATCCGCTCTGCGGAGGGAGAGTTAACAGTCACTTACTACATGCACAGGACAGAGCAAGGGGCTGGTGGCAACTTCCCCAAATTATTGCCGTAATTGAGATATTCACTCAACGAATATTTAGTGGGCGATATATTTCGGGCGCAGAAAGACGTGGTCCTGTTCTGATGCGCCTGGAGGTCCGAGGGCCGTGGAGCTCAACCTTACGAGACCCAAAGCGTCTTATAAAATGGATCATTTTGGGTATCCCGTTTACTATCTGAAAAAAAAAAAAAATCCCGAGGTCAAAGAACATATCTGCACAATCATTTTTGCGCCGGGTCTTAGATGTTATATGAAACAGAAAGGCAGGCAGAGCTTCTGGTAACAGAACTCTGTACGTTTAAGCGTGACTTCCGGGGTTAACAGCCAAGCGGGCCAGGGTTTCGTCTGTGCGCGGAAACGCCTGGAAAGCATCTGCCACCAAAGCAGCCGGATCGCGGGGGGCTGCGGTCGGTGATAGGATTTTTGAAATTGCGAACAACCCGAGAGAAATTAGTGTAGACGTCGATACCGCCCCGGAAACTTTAGCGTGGGTTCAAAGTGTGCAAACCGCTCACCGTGTTCATTGGTCAAATTCAGGTCCTGGGCTCGGATGATCGCGGACTGGCCTGTGGTCTCCACGGCTGTCCAGCCGCAGGAAGTGAGTCTGGGGGAAGGATCTGAGCCTGGCAGGACAGACATCCTAGTGTCCCCAGCCCCGCCCACGGTCCCCACCCGCCCAGGCTGCTTGTCCCCCAAGGCCGAGAAAAACAGAAACGCCTGTGAGGCTTCAGAGGCAGAACCTCGGAAGAGTCCCGAGAACAGCCCCAGTCACACCGCATATCTTCAAACAGCAGGATGTCCTGATATCCAGGAAAATGTGGTGAGCGAGCCCCCAGAGCAGGGACCTGGGGGCTGTCTTCTAGGTGTCAGACTGCAGGATTCCGGCAGACATCAGGGTGATAATCAAATAAAATCTCCGTTATAAAGGACCTTAAAATAAGTACCAAGAGTGTCCCCGCGGCACAGGGCCGTATATCAGGGTCATCTGTTTATTTGAAAAGAAATTTTTTAGGCTGTCTGGGAGGCAGGGCTGTGGGAACAGACAGTCTTTGCTCATTCTTTTCATTCCCTGCCCGTTTTATTTGTGAGTCTTTCCTAATACCAAGCGCAAGTAGTACATCTCCATATACGTTGTATCTGAACAAATACAAAATACGAATATATACCTATAACGTCTCTTTAATGCCTTTACTTTGTGAGTAACTGCAAAATAACACGGATCGGTGGTGACAATGTATTCCCGCGGCACCGAAGGGTGGAAGGTGGAGAGTAGGAGTCCCCTCCCCCACCTGAAAAGCCTGCTTCCCAGAGACTCGACTTGCTCACGCACCCTTCCTTCCCTGCATTCTTTTCTGTGCATCTGCAAATACACGGGCATATGTGTATTTGCACACAAATGTGCCTCTCGTACACATCTTGTTCGGCAACTGGCTTTCTTCATGCCACAGTCTCCTGGGGGACTTCTTTCCATGACAGTATGTTTAACTTTAAAAAAAAAAATTTTTTTTTTTAATGTTTACTTATTTTTGAGACAGAGAGAGACAGAGCACGAACGGGGGAGGGTCAGAGAAAGAGGGAGACACAGAATCCGAGCTGTCAGCCCAGAGCCCGACGCGGGGCTCGAACTCACGGACCGGGAGATCATGACCTGAGCCGGAGTCAGATGCTTAACTGACGGAGCCACCAGGCGCCCCTGTTTAACTTTTTTTTTTAATGTATTTATTTTTGAGAGAGAGAGAGACAGAGCACGAGTGGGGGAGGAGCAGAGAGCGAGGGAGACACAGAATCCGAAGCAGGCTCCGGGCTCCAAGCTGTCGGCGCAGAGCCCGACGCGGGGCTCAAACTCATGAACCGAGAGATCGTGACCTGAGAGGAAGTCGGACGCTCAGCCAACTGAGCCACCCGGAGGAGCCATACCGGATCCAAAGTCCCCACAGCTCTGCTGACCCACCCACTGTCCCCACCTCGCGCCCCACCTTCCTGGATTTCCTGCAGAGAAGGATCCTCCCGGCTCTGGGAGAAGCTTCGCAACGGTTTCTCCTTGTCTGCGGAGGAGAAACGCAGGTGAGGGCAGCAAGCGGCCTCTGGGGCAGCTTCTCTGGGGAGTCCTCCAACTGACTGATGGATTTTTAAAGCAGCATTTATTGGTGGATCCCCCCCCCCCAGATTTAATAAGTGAGTGCAACCTATAACCTTCCTTATCTAAAAATAAGCAGAGTTAATATTTTGGGAGATGCCCCCTCCCGAAGCTTTTCTACGAATATACCTGTGCGTATTTTCTTTGTTTGTAGAAACTGGTGTATTTCCCGTATTGCGTTGTCACGAATATTGCTTTTCCCACTCAGCAATATATTGTTCGCTCATGGCGATAAATGCCATTTCACAACACAATTTCTTTTTCCTCTTTTAATGTTTTTTTAATTTATTTTTGACAGAGAGAGAGAGAGAGAGAGAGAGAGAGAGAGAGAGCATGAGCAGGGGAGGGGCGGAGAGAGTGGGAGACACAGAATCAAGTCCAGCCTCGGCCGGTAAGCCGCTTGGGTGAGTGAGGCCTCAGTCAGTTATTCTGTTCCATCCCCAAAGCCCCAATTTCTTTACCTGTAAAATAAGTGATGTCCACACAACTGGATATTACCCAGCCATAAGAGGGAACGGAGTAGGGGATACGTTAGGTGAGGCTTGGAAATGTTGCACCAAGTGGAAGAGGCCGGTCACGA